TCACACTCTCTCACACACGCTCTCACACTCTCATACACGCTCTCACACTCTCACACACGCTCTCACACACGCTCTCACACTCTCTCACACTCTCTCACACACGCTCTCACACTCTCTCACTCTCACACACGCTCTCACACTCTCTCACTCTCACACACGCTCTCACACTCTCACACACTCTCACACACACGCTCTCACACTCTCATACACGCTCTCACACTCTCATACACGCTCTCACACTCTCACACACGCTCTCACACTCTCTCACACACGCTCTCACACTCTCACACACACGCTCTCACACTCTCACACACACGCTCTCACACTCTCACACACACGCTCTCACACACACGCTCTCACACACACGCTCTCACACTCTCTCATACACGCTCTCACACACACGCTCTCACACTCTCATACACGCTCTCACACTCTCACACACGCTCTCACTCTCTCTCACACACGCTCTCACTCTCTCTCACACACGCTCTCACACTCTCACACACACGCTCTCACACTCTCACACACACGCTCTCACACTCTCATACACGCTCTCACACACACGCTCTCACACTCTCATACACGCTCTCACACTCTCACACACACGCTCTCACACTCTCACACACACGCTCTCACACTCTCATACACGCTCTCACACACACACGCTCTCACACTCTCACACACACGCTCTCACACTCTCATACACGCTCTCACACTCTCACACTCTCTCACACACGCTCTCACACTCTCACACACACGCTCTCACACTCTCACACACACGCTCTCACACTCTCACACACACGCTCTCACACTCTCACACACACGCTCTCACACTCTCACACTCTCTCACACACTCTCACACACACGCTCTCACACTCTCTCACACACTCACACACACTCTCACACTCTCTCACACACGCTCACACACACGCTCTCTCACTCTCACACACACGCTCTCACACTCTCACACTCTCTCACACACGCTCTCACACACTCACACACACTCTCACACTCTCCTACAAAGGGCTACAGAAGCACATTAGGGTTCAGGAACTGATCCCCATAGTTTGATTAGCTAATCAGTCTCCGTGACTATTTAATGCAGTCTCCGTGGTGTATTGGTAAGACACTCGCCTGGCGTTCCGCGAGCGCTATGTCATGGGTTCGTATCCTGGCCGGGGAGGATTTACTGGACGCAAATCCTTAACTGTAGCCTCTGTTTAACTCAACAGTAAAATGTGTACTTGGTTGTAACAACGATTCTTCGCGGCGGGGATCGTATTCCAGGGACCATAGGATTAAGGACTTGCCCGAAACGCTACGCGTACTAGTGGCTGTACAAGAATGTAACAACTCTTGTATATATCTCAAAAAAAAATAAAATAAATAAAGTGTCTTATGAGGCTAGTTACACAATTGTTAATAATACATACACAAATCATATATATATATATATATATATATATATATATATATATATATATATATATATATATATATATATATATATATATATAATATTATTAAATATTACCGAAAAAGTAAGATTAATAATTCTAACACGAATTATCTCAATATTTCTTATGTTTCTTTTCACTGTCGATGGTAATTGAAAAATCAATTCTCCAAAATTCATTTTTATTTCTAGTCTGACGCGACACTTGAACACGTTTCGTAATAACTTATTACATTTTCAAAGACTTTAGTTTACACACACACAACTATAACCTGCAAACACTAAACAGAGTTCTATTATGCAATCATTTAATGTTGTTGTTGTTGTTTAAGATTCGCTACGCAGAACAATAAGTTCCAGTAGCACGGGCTATGGTGAGCCCGTAACTTACCTGGTACAGGAGCAGGGCAAGAAGCACGGGCTATGGTGAGCCCGTAACTTACCTGGCACAGGAGCGGGGCAAGAAGCACGGGCTATGGTGAGCCCGTAGTGGACTTACCTGGCACAGGAGCAGGGCAAGAAGCACGGGCTATGGTGAGCCCGTAGTGGACTTACCTGGCACAGGAGCAGGGCAAGAAGCACCGGCTATGGTGAGCCCGTAACTTACCTGGCACAGGAGCGGGGCAAGAAGCACGGGCTATGGTGAGCCCGTAACTTACCTGGCACAGGAGCGGGGCAAGTAGCACGGGCTATGGTTAACCTTGTGGACGGGAGATGTCTCCCATGTATCATTTAAACAGCTTTCATCTTATATACCCGCATTTGGGTGAGGTGATATGTTACAACAGTTTTGGATGAGGTGAACAAAACTTTCAACACAAGATAGAGCAAACTTTCAACACAAGACAGAACGCGGTACAATGGGTATAAATTGGGTAAATTAAAGGGAAGAATGGAAGTAACTGCAAAGGGCCTATTGGCCCATATTTCTTGATGCTTCTATATTGGTGCGGAGTCTTGAAGTGGGTAGAATATAGTTGTGCATTAATTGGCTGTTGATTGCTGAACCCTAGCAATCAATAGCCAATTAATGCACAACTATATTCTACCCGCAGAGTAAGCAAAGACAAATCCTAAAGTTTTTTCAGTTATATCGAACAAAGACCAGGGAAAGTATAAGTCCATTAAAAACTGAGACAGGTCAAATAACGGACAATGACAAGGAGATGAGTAGTATTTTTAATAAATATTTTATATCTGTATTTACTGAAGAGGAACTTAACAATATGCCTTCAGCCGAACAAGTCTATGTGGGTGGGGATGAGGACAGGTTGACTAGTTTAGCAGTTACCAGGGAGGATGTAATTAAAGAAATAGTTAAACTCAAACCAAACAAATCCCCAGGGCCGGATGAAGTGTTTGCCAGGGTGCTTAAAGAATGCAAAGAGGAGCTTTGTGAGCCACTTTCTACCATATTTAATAAATCAATAGAGTCAGGCAGAGTGCCAGAGTCATGGAAGGTTGCTAATGTGGTACCAGTTTTTAAGAAAGGAGATAGATCACTTGCGTCAAACTATCTGCCAATTAGCCTAACGTCTATTGTGGGAAAGTTACTTGAGTTGATAATTGCAAATACAATTCGTCTTCATCTTGAGAAACATAAATTAATAAATGAGTCGCAACATGGTTTTACAAATGGCCGTTCATGTTTAACAAATTTGCTAACTTTTTATTCCAGCATAGTTGAGGCAGTTGATAGTGGTAAGGATTGTGATGTTGTGAACCTTGACTTTAGCAAAGCTTTTGATACAGTGCCACATGAAAGACTGATTAAAATGATAGAGGCTCATGGTATTGGGGGTGCTATATTAAGTTGGATTAGGGCATGGCTATACCAAAGGAAATAGAGAGTTGTAACATGCATGACCCCCCCCTTTCTTAGAGTTCACACCCAGGGAAGCCTTCTCCAAGAGGTCAGCCCAGATGACCTCCGGATTATCTTGTATGTTGATTAAAAAATTCCTGGGTTAGTCTTAGTCAGCATAGTTTCAAGTATGTAATATTTCATGATACTCTTGTTAAACATTGCAATGGAATTAGACCCCAGATTCTTATGTGTAAACATCTATGGATCTCCCCCTTTTGGCCAGGTCAGAGGTCAGTCACACACGTAATTAATAATTCCTCTCTTGAAGAGTGTATGGTGAATGTCAAACAAGCTTAATGAAAATTCTTGAGTGTTTAAGCACGTGTGGCTGATCTCTTACATTCTTGGTCTAGGTAGCAACAGAAAATCTCCCCCTTCCCCCTTTTCTTGTGGGGTGTATATATATTGGTCCTGTAGAGACTTAGGGACAGAGTGCGGGACACCGGGATCGAGAGCGGGTCTGTGAAGAACATCTCAGCCAGGGAGAGACAGAGGTCTTAAGGTAATGTGTGTGATCTCTGAGGTTTTGTTCTATGTCCAAATTTCTTAAATTTTTGCCAGTGTTAGAGTAGGATTAATAAGTGGTGATTAGCATAATTTTGGTCTCAATAAATTCATGTTAAATTTCCCGTCTGTGTCAATTGTTGAATCCTCTTAGCCTTTTGGATATAGTTGGCTGACAACCGTCCCTTAGTTAATGACAGTCATAGAAAGTACTCTCCAAGTCAAGCAATGTTTCTTGCCTCGTTGCTTGATATAGTCTCAATGGTCAAGGCAGATGGTGGCAGCGTATTTAATCTTGTGTAGCATTTCCGTGTTGGCAGTGTACCTTTGGTTCCGGTGTAACCATCATATGTCAGCTCATATTACAGTGTTCAATAACAGTGTTATCAAGTGCAACCGATAGGAAGTGTTACTCAGGATACGTAGTAGTGTTACATTATTAGTCTAGTATACATTATAGTGGTGTTACAATTTAGAGGTGTTACAGAGTTAGTATAAATGGGGTTAAGTCAGAGTGGGATAGTGTTGTAAGTGGAGTGCCTCAAGGCTCTTGTGGATTTGTTCGCCTCAAGGCTCTGTCCTGGGACCTCTGTTGTTTATAAATATTAAAATACTGGGACCTCTGTTGTTTATAGGGTATTAAAATTATCAATACGAGACAGAACACGAAACAATGGTTATAAATTGGATAAATTTAGATTTAGGAAAGACTTGGGTAAATACTGGTTCGATAACAGGGTTGTTGATTTGTGGAACCAATTACCGCGTACCGTGGTGGAGGTGGGGTCCCTCGATTGTTTCAAGAGTGGGTTGGACATGTATATGAGTGGGATTGGGTGGTTATAAATAGGAGCTGCCTCGCATGGGCCAATAGGCCTGCTGCAGTTGCCTATGTTCTTATGTTCTTGATTTGTGGAACCAATTACCGCATAACGTGGTGGATGTGGGGTCCCTCGATTGTTTCAAGTGTGGGTTGGACATGTATATGAGTGGGATTGGGTGGTTATCAATAGGAGCTGCCTCGCATGGGCCAATAGGCCTTCTGCAGTTAACTTTGTTGTTATGTTCATTGTTGCCAGATGTGCTCTCACGCATTATATTTGTGGTGTCGTGTTACTGGTGATAACTCGGGTGGCTCGTGACCGCTACTGTTACATGTTGCGTCTCTTCCAGGCAGGTGCACCCGGCAGACTTGGTGGTGGTGTCAGCGGTGCCCTACGCCCGCAGGAGCCTTGACGAACGCTCTGCTGGAGGCGGCGGGGGTGGGCGGCCAGGCTCCTCCCCCTGCAAGTCACCTCCACCCCCGCCGCCCTCATCATCCACCCCCTCCCCAACCTCCATCATCACCACCACCACCTCCGCCTACCCCACCGCTCCCAACCTCTGCGTTACCGCCGGCAAGATTGAGTTTATTACGCCCCCAGGTGAGAGGCTTCGCTTGTCTTCACTCCTGTAATGGTGTTTGGCTTCACAATATTTGTGTTTTTCAGCGCCAGACTTGCTCTTGTCGGAGCTGATACTGCCGCCGCCCTATACATACATACATACATACATACATACATACATACATACATACATACATACATACATACATACATACATACATACATACATATTAACTTTTCCTGTACCTAGCTACATATATATTAACTTTTCCTGTGCCTAGCTAGACACATATTAACTTTTCCTGTACCTAGCTACATATATATTAACTTTTCCTGTACCTAGCTAGACACATATTAACTTTTCCTGTACCTAGCTACATACATATTAACTTTTCCTGTACCTAGCTAGACACATATTAACTTTTCCTGTACCTAGCTACATACATATTAACTTTTCCTGTACCTAGCTAGACACATATTAACTTTTCCTGTACCTAGCTACATACATATTAACTTTTCCTGTACCTAGCTACATATATATTAACTTTTCCTGTACCTAGCTAGACACATATTAACTTTTCCTGTACCTAGCTACATATATATTAACTTTTCCTGTACCTAGCTAGACACATATTAACTTTTCCTGTACCTAGCTACATACATATTAACTTTTCCTGTACCTAGCTAGACACATATTAACTTTTCCTGTACCTAGCTACATACATATTAACTTTTCCTGTACCTAGCTAGACACATATTAACTTTTCCTGTACCTAGCTACATACATATTAACTTTTCCTGTACCTAGCTAGACACATATTAACTTTTCCTGTACCTAGCTACACACATTAACTTTTCCTGTACCTAGATAGACACATATTAACTTTTCCTGTACCTAGCTACACACATATTAACTTTTCCTGTACCTAGCTACACACATATTAACTTTTCCTGTACCTAGCTACACACACATTAACTTTTCCTGTACCTAGCTAGACACATATTAACTTTTCCTGTACCTAGCTAGACACATATTAACTTTTCCTGTACCTAGCTAGACACATATTAACTTTTCCTGTACCTAGCTACACACATATTAACTTTTCCTGTACCTAGCTACACACATATTAACTTTTCCTGTACCTAGCTACACACATATTAACTTTTTTGAATAACATATTTATAACTTTGTTTTAGAATAATATGTGGCGTTCACCAGTGCTATAACCTTAAATTATAATCTACGAACATAACCCTTTAGATATAATCAGTTTAGAGAATTATTCTAGTCCCCAGGGGGAATAGAATAATTTTGAATTATTAGTATACTATTAGAATAATTAATAGAATTATTTTGGAGGGGGTTATAAACCTAACGTATATAAATGCTCTCAGCCCGCCTGTTCCCCGACACAATAAATTATCATTATATCATAAGTGTACAATAAGAGATTATCGTGAGTACGCCGCGTATAAGGGTGTTTACCTGTGGCGTGGCATGCCAGCCCACGATAATGGCCCAACATGGTGCTGACGGCAACATTACCGCCGAGGTCGGCCCAACACGTCCAGGGATTTATATGTGACTTCCATCACTTTCATTTCCTTGTAGTTATCTAAACATTGTATTACTGTACTTATTGAGTATATTAATGTAGTTAGAAAATGCAGAATATAATCAGTGAAGAGCAGGGGTGCCATAGGCACAATCAGAGAACACTGTATAAACATCAGAGGTCCAGTGAAGAGCAGAGGTGCCATAGGCACAATCAGAGAACACTGTATAAACATCAGAGGTCCAGTGAAGAGCAGAGGTGCCATAGGCACAATCAGAGAACACTGTATAAACATCAGAGGTCCGCGGTTGTTCAACACCCTCCCAGCGAGCATCAGAAATATTGCCAGAACAACCGTGGACATCTTCAAGAGGAAACTAGATAGTTTCCTCCAAGGAGTGCCGGACCAACCAGGCTGTGGTGGGTATGTGGGCCTGCAGGCCGCTCCAAGCAACAGCCTGGTGGACCAAGCTCTCGGGGCCGGGCTTGGGGAGTAGAAGAACTCCCAGAACACCATCCAGGTACAATTCAGGTAGTTCGAAGTACTGAATTAAAAACTCAGTAATAAAGTTTTACTAAAAGTATGATGGAATATGGAGGGAGAGAGCATGTGTCTCCAGCAAGGCTAACACACCATGTTGTTCCTGTGGTCTACTGCTACCCTCCACAAACCAGTTCACTTTTATTTACGTTGGTAAACTTCAAATGCTTGCTACTGTTAGTATTAGTTAATGTAATTAAATGATTAGTTATTGTTTAAGACATATAATCCTCATTTATTTTGATAGACTCGACTTTGTCATCGACTGCTTCACGCTGCTCAACGCTGAAGCTGTCCCCCAGCACCCAGCTGGTGTCCCCCAACACCCAGCAGGAGGTGTTCTCCAGCTGTTACGGCCCTCTCGGGACGCAACGGGGTTCTTACTCTGATGTTATTAGAGGAAGTTGTATCCGGCCCCAAGCCAGTAGTGGCTTTCAAGGGATGAGATCCGTGACGCAAGAAACTTAAAGGGGAAGGGAAAGAAAGTTAAGAACTTAAGATAATAATTACCATCACCAATAAATAATATATAAAAAGAGTACACAGGGGGAGGGGTATTAACACTATACAGGGGAATTATTCACACAATTGTCTTCTCCTGAAGACTCTGGATCCAAATTTCTCGGTGCTGGGTCCTCGGTGCTTTCGTGGTCTCTTGACGAATCCTTCGACCAAGCTGAGTCTACCCCAAACACAGGCCAGCCAAAACACGGGTCCACTGGGGGCACCGCCGTGGAGGCCGTCAACCACAAGTCCAGCAGGTCTGCTGGCAGGTTCTGGATCAGCCACGCTGGTCAGGCCACTCCACGAACGATACTAGGGTAGCGCCCTAGTCAGGAGCCTCGTGTGATACCACAAATCACTCTCCTGTCCTCAATACCCCAGTGGATAATCGTCTCCAGCAGTCGGTCCCAGGTAAGACAATCCTTCTACTGCCACTCCACTGGCAGGGTAACACACACAGTGTTCTTCCGGGAGACGACTTCACAGCTGCTGCAGCAAGGCACAAGGTATGGGGACGGCTGCCTTGGGTAGACTGACTCAACTTCCATCACAGCAGTCCCAGGTCGACTCTGTAAGCAGACACGTCATCAATAACAGGGACACTAAAACACCTCACTTACAGGCTCAGACACAAACGCCCACCTATCCACTCCATAGATGGCGCTGTCGTCTGAGCACCACCTCACCAGAGGTCAGCAGCGGCTGTGTTGAGCGCTGAACAGGACTGGAAACTGGCCCTTGAGGCCAGTACACGTCGTCCTCACCAGGTGTCGTCGTCCGTTTGGAGGGGGTTTCGGGAGCTGACCCACAGATGGCGCGGTCGTCACTGCTCCGTGCTCGGACGCTGGATCCGGGTTCGTAACACCTCCCCACCAAAAAGAATTTGGTTTGGGTTTCTAGAAAGAGAATTACAAACCAAATTAGTACGGCGACACAACTCCAAATGGACTCACAATTACTGTAAACTGGCACGGCGAGGCTGTCTCGTCCACAGAACTGTACTAAGGAGAAACCCTGGCACAAAGGGAACTTGAAAATGGCAGGCGATGACCTGCCTGACGTAATTTTCCACATCTCCACTGCGATGTCAAGCAGGGGCATCATCTCACATCTCTCAAGTAAGGATCGGTGTGGACACGATCTGGGGCGACTCGACACTTCCCTATGTCGTGGCACCGATGATGGCTGGACACAGACGGCATTTCTGGTACCGATCCGGCGGTCCTTCAGGGAGTCGGGCACCTGGAATACAGGGGTCTGATAATTCAGAGTGACAGCGACAGCGGGTAAAACAGTACTTACAGCATACTCTACTAGGTCCACACCTAGTCCCAACGGGGCTGTTCGTACGTCGCAGATGGCATTCGCTCTGCCACCGTCAGGTCGACCAACGTTCCACATAACGCTGCATTGAGGCTCAGCAGTCACGCGGGGGGTGCCAACCTGTCGGAAACAGTCACTCACATTATCATATCTCGTACCTCCTGTATCAACCATCACCTTCCAGGTCCCTTCTTCGACTGTAACGCTCATAGTGCACGTCTCTAATCCCTGGGATCTCTTCCCGATGTTCAAGGGAGCCATCATCCTTCGGGTCGTCCACTGATCCTTACCGAGACACACACGAGAATAAAACAAAATACTGCTAAGAAACATGGGGCCAATTGAGGGATAAGCTTCCCGAGCCTGTCATGTCCATAACCGGCTATATCCATTAGCCTGGTTTGGACCAAAGAGGGCACTAGACCTTTCGAACACACCTCACATACCTCTGACGTCTGGGGAATCTCTGGCCGGTTCAATGAACGCTGTACAATGCCATACCGCAAGTACACATCCGCCTTCGCTCCAGACTCGTTGGTATCCGTGGGTGCCTGCACACAAGGCCTCTCTTCTTGCTCAGTTACTTCTGCCATCGTAACCGCATGTTCCTTGTCGAGAGAAGAATCAGGAGACACTGCTAGAATACTGTCGATCTGCGGGTGAGAGGACAAATTAAACCTGTTTGAATCCGGGTCTGTCTTTACCTGGACATTACCACTGCCTGTTACCTCAGACCTTGCTGTTCTGGCTGACTCGTCTGCAACCTTGGGAAGATTGATGCTCCAATCTGTCACCAAGTCGTTGGCTAGTACCACGTCAATCCCAGCCACAGGGAGGGTATCGACTACTGCCAACGCACATGTGCCGCTGAAATAAGGCGAGTCGAGATGTACTGGCACTAAGGGGGCGATGTACTGCGTCCTTGGAAACCCAACCAGGACAACCTGTTGTCTCCCGTCCACACTTACTCCCTCGGGTAACGAGCTCTTCACGATCAGGGACTGGGCTGCTCCACTATCTCTGAGCACTACAACTGATCTACCAGTATGATCACTCGATACATACCCGCCTGAAGTGTGAGGGGAAAACAATCTGGGTTCTTCCTGCGTCGTCGTCGACTGGCTTCCTGCTGGTGGTGTAACACAGCTCATCAACATCACCTCCCTACGTGCGCCGCCACCTCTTCTGCCTCGGCACATAGCAGCTACATGCCCTTTCTGCCCACAAGTCCAGCACACCACATTCCTCCTCGGACTCCGGTGTTTCGGACTGCTAGGACTAGTCCTTCGAGGGCTACTTGGGGGCGTCTTCTTAGCGCTTCGTGGGACGGGGGTCTCTTCTTCGTCATGAGGTTTGTCAAACCGGCGTTGGTAATGCCTTGGGACGTACTTAGCAGAAGGCCTATGCGTCAGGATGTATTCCTCAGCCATGGTGGCTGCCGCACTCAAGGTCTCTACCTGCTGCTCTTCTAAGTACGTCTTTAGGTCTCCAGACAAACAATCCTTGAAGTCCTCTAGCAGTATAAGCTGCTCGAGGTCTTCTTTGGTCTCCACCTTCCGAGAGGCACACCACTCCTGAAAAAGTCGCTCCTTGATAGTGGCGAATTCGGTGAAGGTGTGTTCTGAGGTCTTTTTCAGGTTTCTGAACTTCTGTCTGTATGCCTCAGGTACCAATTGGTACGCCATGAGCACAACCTTCTTCACCTTGTCATAATCGCCGGAGTCGTCAAGGAATAACGTGGAGTAAGCGATTTGGGCCTTCCCAGTCAAGACTGACTGTATCATGATGGCCCAATTCTCCCTTGGCCACTCCAAAGAGGCAGCGACTTTCTCGAAGGCTGCAAAGAACTTCGAAACTTCCCTCTCATTGAACTTGGGGACCATTTTGATGTTTCTTACCGGATCGAAACCGCTGGTGTCCGTTGTTGGCCTCCGACCACCGCCTAATCGCAATACTTCTAGTTCATGTTGTCTCTGTCTTTCTTTTTCTTCTCTCTCTCGCTGTTTCTCTTCTTCTCTTTCTCTTTCTCGTTCTTCTCTCTCTCGTTTCTCTTCTCTTTCTCGTTCTTCTCTTTCTCTTTCTCGTTCTTCTCTCTCTCGTTTCTCTTCTCTTTCTCGTTCTTCTCTCTCGTTCTCTTTCTCTCGTTTTTCTCTTCGTTCTTCTTCTCTTTCTCTCTTTCTCTTCTCTTTCTAATTCTAAACGCCTCATCGCCAATTCCTTTTCTTTTAATTCTCGTTCCATTTCTAATTTCTTCCATTCTATCTCGCGATTTATCTCTAGGGCACGCATTTTGACTGTAAGAAAGCTAATATTAAGCTCACCTGCATCACTGTCAATGTCACTGCCCTTATCTTCCTTTTCCGTGGAAGCTATTTCCTCACCTTCCTTTGTACTAGGAGTCTCGCCTTCCTGTTTCTCTTCTGCCTTCAAGTGCCGGTGAACCTTGGACAAGATCTCCACACGGGAATCACTGGCACGGATCTTGATCTCCAGGTAGGCGCTCACTAGTACAAGCTCTGGTTTGCTCAGATATTTTAATCTGGCAAGACAGTCCTCTCTGTTCAGAAAAGCCTGAACATCGTCCAGATCATCGATGGTAGCTTTTTCTGCCATTGTCACAGATGGAACACTTAGCACTTAACACACTGCTTACACGTTAGCACTTAACGCACCGAGCACTGTTCTACGCCAATATTGCACTTTATCGCACCTGGCACCTCACTTGCCAATATTGCACGTAATTACTTCGGGCACCGCACTACCCAATATTGCACTGAATCCCAGCGAACACTTCGCTCTGCAATATTGCACCAAATCACGCCGAGCACCGCACTACACAATATTGCACTTAATCGCTTAATCACAGCGAGCACCGCACTGCACAATATCGCACTTAGTCACTCTTGAGCACCGCACAGGACGTATAACGTCACAATCGTCACACACAGGGGGAATTATATACAGGGATTACGCCACTTCACCACCCCTGTCAAACATACTTAACAAGGGGACGGATCCCGCTGGGGATGCCAATTATGTTACGGCCCTCTCGGGACGCAACGGGGTTCTTACTCTGATGTTGTTAGAGGAAGTTGTATCCGGCCCCAAGCCAGTAGTGGCTTTCAAGGGATGAGATCCGTGACGCAAGTAACTTAAAGGGGAAGGGAAATAAAGTCAAGAACTTAATATAATATATTGACCACCACCAATAAATAATATATAAAAAGATTACACAGGGGGGAGGGGTATTAACACTGTACACAAACGTCTTCTCCTGAAGACTCTGGATCCAAATTCTCGGTGCTGAGTCCTCGGTGCTTTCGTGGTCTCTTGACGAATCCTTCGACCAAGCTGAGTCTACCCCAAACACAGGCCAGCCAAAACACGGGTCCACTGGGGGCACCGCCGTGGAGGCCGTCAACCACAAGTCCAGCAGGTCTGCTGGCAGGTTCTGGATCAGCCACGCTGGTCAGGCCACTCCACGAACGATACTAGGGTAGCGCCCTAGTCAGGAGCCTCGTGTGATACCACAAATCACTCTCCTGTCCTCAATACCCCAGTGGATAATCGTCTCCAGCAGTCGGTCCCAGGTAAGACAATCCTTCTACTGCCACTACACTGGCAGGGTAACACACCACAGTGTTCTTCCGGGAGACGACTTCACAGCTGCTGCAGCAAGGCACAAGGTAAGGGGACGGCTGCCTCGGGTAGACTGACTCAACTTCCATCACAGCAGTCCCAGGTCGACTCTGTAAGCAGACACGTCATCAATAACAGGGACACTAAAACACCTCACTTACAGGCTCAGACACAAACGCCCACCTATCCACTCCATAGATGGCGCTGTTGTCTGAGCACCACCTCACCAGAGGTCAGCAGTGGCTGTGTTGAGCGCTGAACGGGACTGGAAACCGGCCCTTGTGGCCAGTACTCGTCGTCCTCACCAGGTGTCGTCGTCCGTTTGGAGGGGGTTTCGGGAGCTGACCCACAGATGGCGTGGTCGTCACTGCTCCGTGCTCGGACGCTGGATCCGGGTTCGTAACACATGTGGGTACTCAGCTTCAACCTGTGTCCCCTTGTTCGTATACTCCCGTGTTAAACAATTATCTTTATCTACCCTGTCGATTCCTCTTAGAATTTTGTAGGTAGTGATCATGTTCATCACAACTCATGCCTCTTAGTCCTATGACTAGCCTTGTGGCATACCTCTAAACTTTTTCCAGCTTCGTCTTGTGGTTGACAAGGTACGGGCTCCATGCTGGGGCCGCATACTCCAGGATTGGTCTCACATATGTGGTGTACAAGATTCTGAATGATTCCTTACACAGGTTCCTGAACGCTGTTCTGATGTTAGCCAGCCTCGCATATGCCGCAGACGTTATTCTTTTTATGTGGGCTTCAGGAGACAGGTTTGGTGTGATATCAACTCCTGGGTCTTTCTCTCTGTCCGTTTCATTAAGTACTTCATCTCCTACTCTGTATCCTGTGTCTGGCCTTCTGTTTCCACCGCCTAGTTTCATGACCTTGCATTTACTCGGGTTGAACTTCAACAGCCATTTGTTGGACCATTCACTCAGTTTGTCTAGATCATCTTGTAGCCTCATCCTATCTTCCTCTATCTTAATCCTCCTCATAATTTTTGCATCATCAGCAAAGAGCAAAAAAAAATTTGCATTCCCTCTGTAAGATCATTTACATATATCAGAAATAGTATTGGTCCAAGGACTGAACCCTGCGGGACTCCACTGGCGATACTTCGTCAATCTGAGACCTCACCCCTCACAGTGACTCACTGTCTTCTGTTACTTAGGTACTCCCTTATCCAATGGAATACCTTCCCTCTCACTCTTGTCTGCATCTCCAGCTTGTGCTCTAGTCTCTTGTGTGGCTAGTGCACAAAGACTTTTTGGCAATCCAGAAATACGCAGTCTGCCCACCCCTCTCTTTCTTGCCTTATTTTTGTTGCCTGGTCGTAGAATTCAAGTAACCCTGTGAGGCAGGACCTGCCATCCCTGAACCCATGTTGATGCTGTGTTACAAAGTTCCTTCGCTACAGATGTTCCACTAGCTTTCTTCGCACAATCTTCTTCATCAGCTTGTTTGGTATGCAGGTTAGGGACACTGGTGTGTGTGTGTGTGTGTGTGTGTGTGTGTGAAGCAGACCATCCTCCTAAAAAGAAAGTACTTACTTTAACGATAACGATGACTCCCTAATCTCTCCCAATCTTCCCCCTCTTTCATCCGTTTCCTCCCCCCCCCCTTTGACTTTTCCAATCATCTCAGTACTGCCTTCAATACCTTTCCTCAGTCCCCCCTCCCGTCCAAATCTCCACCGTTCCCCCATTTTCTATTCTTCCTACTCCACCCATTCTCCTAATCACTATGCCAGATTTATAATTTTGTCTATATAATTATTATCCTATTATTATTTTATTGACTTTTATTAGTTATTGCTATATTTTATATAATTATTGTGATATTTAAGATACCAATCCAGTAACGATGTGGGCGACTGTACGAACATGGACCAATAGGAAGAATATTTTTGTATTACTGAATTTGGACAAACCGGAAGTTTCCTATTAATGTTGTTAATGAAACCTAACCTAATCATCCTAGGCCTAATGCACGCTAGCTGATAATATAGTACAATATAGTACATATATGTACTATACTAGGCCTGTCAATATCAACAGACTGTATCAAGTGAATAATACCAAATTCTACTTTCTATTTGTTCATCTCGTCAATTTATGCACGATCGTCCATTTTTTATAGTATACATACGAGAGTTCTTACATTCAGGGAGCCGGTCGGCCGAGCGGACAGCACGCTGGACTTGTGGTCCCGGGTTCGATCCCGGACGCCGGCGAGAAACAATCGGCAGAGTTTCTTTCACCCTATGCCCCCTGTTACCTTGCAGCAAAATAGGTACCTGGGTGTTAGTCAGCTGTCACGGGCTGCTTCCTGGGGGTGGAGGCCTGGTCGAGGACCGGGCCTCCACGGGATGGGTATGGGTTGTACACCTCACGTCAGGTGTGTGAGGGAGGTTACTGTGCCTCACGTCAGGTGTGTGAGGGAGGTTACTGTGCCTCACGTCAGGTGTGTGAGGGAGGTTACTGTGCCTCACGTCAGGTGTGTGAGGGAGGTTACTGTGCCTCACGTCAGGTGTGTGAGGGAGGTTACTGTGCCTCACGTCAGGTGTGTGAGGGAGGTTACTGTGCCTCACGTCAGGTGTGTGAGGGAGGTTACTGTGCCTCACGTCAGGTGTGTGAGGGAGGTTACTGTGCCTCACGTCAGGTGTGTGAGGGAGGTTACTGTGCCTCACGTCAGGTGTGTGAGGGAGGTTACTGTGCCTCACGTCAGGTGTGTGAGGGAGGTTACTGTGCCTCACGTCAGGTGTGTGAGGGAGGTTACTGTGCCTCACGTCAGGTGTGTGAGGGAGGTTACTGTGCCTCACTGCTCATGCATGAGTCACCGGCCCCCGCGGCGCTGCTGTTGCCAACATCTTGACCCTCCCACACCCCTCTCCCTCTCTCCGCCCCTCCCACACCCTCTCCCTCCGACCCTCCCACACCCTCTCCCTCCGACCCTCCCACACCCTCTCCCTCCGACCCTCCCACACCCTCTCCCTCCGACCCTCCCACACCCTCTCCCTCCGCCCCTCCCACACCCTCTCCCTCCGACCCTCCCACACCCTCTCCCTCCGACCCTCCCACACCCTCTCCCTCCGACCCTCCCACACCCTCTCCCTCCGACCCTCCCACACCCTCTCCCTCCGCCCCTCCCACACCCTCTCCCTCCCTCCGCCCCTCCCACACCCTCTCCCTCTCCCACCCTCCGCCCCTCCCACACCCTCTCCCTCCCTCACCCTCTCCCTCCCTCCGCCCCTCCCACACCCTCTCCCTCCCTCCGCCCCTCCCACACCCTCTCCCTCCCTCCGCCCCTCCCACACCCTCTCCCTCCCTCCCTCCCACACCCTCTCCCTCTCCCTCCCTCCCACACCCTCTCCCTCTCCCTCCCTCCGCCCCTCCCACACCCTCTCCCTCTCTCTGCCCCTCCCACACCCTCTCCATCCGACCCTCCCACACCCTCTCCCTCCGCCCCTCCCACACCCTCTCTCCCTCCCTCCCTCACACACCCTCTCTCTCCCTCCCTCCCACACCCTCTCTCTCCCTCCCTCCCACACTCTTCCTTCGACGTCTCTCACAGCCTATATCGCCTGCCAGGAGGTGCGGTGCGGCGTGCAGGGACCACTGACACACGTGCCGTGCCAGGCCCGTATGACACGTGCCGTGTCAGGCCCGCATGACACGTGCCGTGCCAGGCCCGCATGACACGTGCCGTGCCAGGCCCGCATGACACGTGCCGTGCCAGGCCCGCATGACACGTGCCGTGCCAGGCCCGCATGACACGTGCCGTGCCAGGCCCGCATGACACGTGCCGTGCCAGGCCCGCATGACACGTGCCGTGCCAGGCCCGCATGACACGTGCCGTGCCAGGCCCGCATGACACGTGCCGTGCCAGGCCCGCATGACACGTGCCGTGCCAGGCCCGCATGACACGTGCCGTGCCAGGCCCGCATGACACGTGCCGTGCCAGGCCCGCATGACACGTGCCGTGCCAGGCCCGCATGACACGTGCCGTGCCAGGCCCGCATGACACGTGCCGTGCCAGGCCCGCATGACACGTGCCGTGCCAGGCCCGCATGACACGTGCCGTGCCAGGCCCGCATGACACGTGCCGTGCCAGGCCCGCATGACACGTGCCGTGCCAGGCCCGCATGACACGTGCCGTGCCAGGCCCGCATGACACGTGCCGTGCCAGGCCCGCATGACACGTGCCGTGCCAGGCCCGCATGACACGTGCCGTGCCAGGCCCGCATGACACGTGCCGTGCCAGGCCCGCATGACACGTGCCGTGCCAGGCCCGCATGACACGTGCCGTGCCAGGCCCGCATGACACGTGCCGTGCCAGGCCCGCATGACACGTGCCGTTCCAGGCCCGCATGACACGTGCCGTGCCAGGCCCGCATGACACGTGCCGTGCCAGGCCCGCATGACACGTGCCGTGCCAGGCCCGCATGACACGTGCCGTGCCAGGCCCGCATGACACGTGCCGTGCCAGGCCCGCATGACACGTGCCGTGCCAGGCCCGCATGACACGTGCCGTGCCAGGCCCGCATGACACGTGCCGTGCCAGGCCCGCATGACACGTGCCGTGCCAGGCCCGCATGACACGTGCCGTGCCAGGCCCGCATGACACGTGCCGTGCCAGGCCCGCATGACACGTGCCGTGCCAGGCCCGCATGACACGTGCCGTGCCAGGCCCGCATGACACGTGCCGTGCCAGGCCCGCATGACACGTGCCGTGCCAGGCCCGCATGACACGTGCCGTGCCAGGCCCGCATGACACGTGCCGTGCCAGGCCCGCATGACACGTGCCGTGCCAGGCCCGCATGACACGTGCCGTGCCAGGCCCGCATGACACGTGCCGTGCCAGGCCCGCATGACACGTGCCGTGCCAGGCCCGCATGACACGTGCCGTGCCAGGCCCGCATGACACGTGCCGTGCCAGGCCCGCATGACACGTGCCGTGCCAGGCCCGCATGACACGTGCCGTGCCAGGCCCGCATGACACGTGCCGTGCCAGGCCCGCATGACACGTGCCGTGCCAGGCCCGTATGACACGTGCCGTGCCAGGCCCGTATGACACGTGCCGTGCCAGGCCCGCATGACACGTGCCGTGCCAGGCCCGCATGACACGTGCCGTGCCAGGCCCGCATGACACGTGCCGTGCCAGGCCCGTATGACACGTGCCGTGCCAGGCCCGCATGACACGTGCCGTGCCAGGCCCGCATGACACGTGCCGTGCCAGGCCCGCATGACACGTGCCGTGCCAGGCCCGCATGACACGTGCCGTGCCAGGCCCGCATGACACGTGCCGTGCCAGGCCCGCATGACACGTGCCGTGCCAGGCCCGTATGACACGTGCCGTGCCAGGCCCGCAGGACACGTGCCGTGCCAGGCACGTAGGACACGTGCCGTGAGAGACGTGCAGCTAGAGAAAGCCAGTTGTTTACAGAAGTAGTGTTGATGGCGGCCCAACAGATGGCGCCACGTGTCGTCCACACTTGCCCCGTCTCCTTCACCGCCTCACTTACATATTACAACCTCTTGAGAAAATTACAGCGCTCAGAAGCGCTTAGTATTCCTCAATTGTATTAATTGTAAATGAGTTGTAGAGGTCATTGGGAGGAGTTGTAAAGAGGTAGAAGATGAGGGTTGAGGCGACATGTGGCAGCGTGGCAGGGTGGGTGCTTTGTTGTTGTGGCTTCTGAGCGGCGGTGTTGTGGTGCTGTGTTGTGTTGTGGTGCTGTGTTGTGGTGTTGTGGGTGTGTTGCTGACCCCCGGGGCTCGTGCCCACGCTCCCTGCCCCACCAGCATGCCCTCACTGCTGCCCGGGCTGACCAGGAGCAGCACAGTGAGGGTGTGTAGGGAGACAGCCAGGAGGGAGGAGGATGTGTGGCACTGTGGTCTACTGCCTGCAAGGTTAGACCTCCCTCTGGCGCTCTCACCTTCCTGCACCACCTCTGGCACTCTCACCTTCCTGCACCTCCTCTGGTGGCACTCTCACCTTCCTGCACCTCCTCTGGCACTCTCACCTTCCTGCACCTCCTCTGGTGGCACTCTCACCTTCCTGCACCTCCTCTGGCACTCTCACCTTCCTGCACCTCCTCTGGTGGCACTCTCACCTTCCTGCACCTCCTCTGGTGGCACTCTCACCTTCCTGCACCTCCTCTGGTGGCACTCTCACCTTCCTGCACCTCCTCTGGCACTCTCACCTTCCTGCACCTCCTCTGGCACTCTCACCTTCCTGCACCACCTCTGGCACTCTCACCTTCCTGCACCTCCTCTGGTGGCACTCTCACCTTCCTGCACCTCCTCTGGCACTCTCACCTTCCTGCACCTCCTCTGGTGGCACTCTCACCTTCCTGCACCTCCTCTGGTGGCACTCTCACCTTCCTGCACCTCCTCTGGCACTCTCACCTTCCTGCACCTCCTCTGGCACTCTCACCTTCCTGCACCTCCTCTGGCACTCTCACCTTCCTGCACCTCCCTCTGGCACTCTCACCTTCCTGCACCTCCCTCTGGCACTCTCACCTTCCTGCACCTCCTCTGGCACTCTCACCTTCCTGCACCACCTCTGGCACTCTCACCTTCCTGCACCACCTCTGGCACTCTCACCTTCCTGCACCACCTCTGGCACTCTCACCTTCCTGCACCTCCTCTGGTGGCACTCTCACCTTCCTGCACCTCCTCTGGTGGCACTCGCACCTTCCTGCACCACCTCTGGTGGCACTCTCACCTTCCTGCACCTCCTCTGGCACTCTCACCTTCCTGCACCTCCTCTGGCACTCACCTTCCTGCACCTCCTCTGGCACTCTCACCTTCCTGCACCACCTCTGGCACTCTCACCTTCCTGCACCTCCTCTGGTGGCACTCTCACCTTCCTGCACCTCCTCTGGCACTCTCACCTTCCTGCACCTCCTCTGGCACTCTCACCTTCCTGCACCTCCTCTGGTGGCACTCTCACCTTCCTGCACCTCCTCTGGTGGCACTCTCACCTTCCTGCACCTCCTCTGGTGGCACTCTCACCTTCCTGCACCTCCTCTGGTGGCACTCTCACCGTCCTGCACCTCCTCTGGTGGCACTCTCACCTTCCTGCACCTCCTCTGGTGGCACTCTCACCTTCCTGCACCTCCTCTGGTGGCACTCTCACCTTCCTGCACCTCCTCTGGCACTCTCACCTTCCTGCACCACCTCTGGCACTCTCACCTTCCTGCACCACCTCTGGCACTCTCACCTTCCTGCACCTCCTCTGGCACTCTCACCTTCCTGCACCTCCTCTGGCACTCTCACCTTCCTGCACCTCCTCTGGCACTCTCACCTTCCTGCACCTCCTCTGGCACTCTCACCTTCCTGCACCACCTCTGGCACTCTCACCTTCCTGCACCTCCTCTGGCACTCTCACCTTCCTGCACCTCCTCTGGCACTCTCACCTTCCTGCACCTCCTCTGGCACTCTCACCTTCTTAACATCTCCCAACATTACTCAGCTTCATCAGTCATGTCTCTCAACCGTATCGCTAGCTTCACTTTCATTAGTACTAACAAGGGTCTACTTACCCACCATGTGGGGTAGCAGATGTCTCGTGCTCATAACTACTCAATTATTCATACTGAAGAAAATTATCTCATAATATACATTAGCTTAATTAATACTTACATGTTTTTTAAGTACAGTACATATCAAGCAGAAGTGGACGCCGTGTAGCTGCTATCAGGATAGTTCGTAGCTAAAGGTGGCACATGTTTACTTTTGACATGTCATAAAAGAGAGATGCATTAACTCACTAAATCTAACATATTTTGATAACTTAAATTGATTTTGATGGAATAAGACTCCCTGTACTGTGCCATCCTTGTATTGCTTTGATGGTACATTGAAACTTACCGACCTTCCTCCAGGATGGAGCCCACAACTGTGGCTTGTCCTGTCTCTTTACCTAATCAGTCAAGTTGGTAATTTCCTTACATTGCTGTGAAATATTTACTTAAATTACATATATATATAAATTACATATATATTTACTTAAATTACAAGATGCATTCTTGAGACCTTGACTCATCTGTGTAAACTTTCAAGTATCCGGGGTATAAGGAGGCTTGCAGGTCTGCAAAAATTGAAGGGGCCAAACCTTCTTAAACCCTCTTCTGACAAGGAGCCAGGGGCCAGATTCATGCAGTTACGAAAGCACTTACGAACGTCTACATCTTTCCTCGATCTTTGACGGCTTTGGTTACATTTATTAAACAGTTTACAAACATGAAAACTTGCCAATCAACTGTTGTTATTGTTATAAACAGCCTCCTGGAGCTTCGGAGCTCATTGTCTGTTTAATAATTGTAAACAAAGCCGCCAAAGATTGAGTAAAGATGTACAGGTTCATAAGTGCTTGCATAAATGCTTCATGAATCTGGCCCCTGATGTGTTGTCCTCCCCCGTGGTGGGCTGCTATCTTTGTTGTTAACATTCTTCTGTTTTAGAATATTAACTTTTCTAATTCAGATTTTTCACTCGCTTAATGAGAGAGAGAGAGAGAGAGAGAGAGAGAGAGAGAATGAGTAAGGCAGCAGGCGGTAAGGCGGTCAGCAAGGCGGACAGCCCACCTGCTTTCATACCTCTCACTGTATTTCCCACTTCTAAACTTCCCTTCACCATGCTTCTCCTTCCTCTTTATTCCCCCCCCCCCCCACCCCCAAAAAAAGAGAGAATAAGTAGATAGTTACACATGCATTAAGTATGAAACATGAGTGTCATGATGAATGTTTTGGTAATATTGTTTCTTTCAGATATACTCAGTAGAGCCTTTTGAAGATGAATATAGGGAAAGGCAGCCTTTAAGAACCAATGGTCTGGAAGCCACCAGTCCTCATCGGAACAAGCAAGAAGAGCTAGAGAACGGCTCACATGCACCAATTAGCCACCGGAAGAATAACGGCAGTATCATGGATTCTGACCAGGTAGAGTACATTTTACTCTACTGAGAGTACATAGGACTATATTTTGGTAAATCCAAGTAACATAGACACATAGTAACTTGTAAGTAACTTGAAAGTAGAATTAAATACCTTCTTACCATCAACTTAGTCATTATATTATTGTTACCCCTCTGATTTCTATTCAGTGTTTCATACCTAAGATTTCAGTTGAATTTGGGGATTACACTGCGAATACAAATACTGTACACTATTTTAGTAGTCCTTGAATATGAAAATCAAAATCATATTACTGAAGGAGCTTGGCAATTTCTTCAGTATTTCTTTTTACTGTATATACATTTAAATAAGCCTATTGACATGAATCTGTAACAACATTTTATGTCCCTGTACTTCATAGTTTTCTGAATATATATATATACTGTGTGTGTGTGTATAATATATATATATATATATATATATATATATATATATATATATATATATATATATATATATATATATATATATATATATATATATATATATATATATATATAATGTCGTACCTAGTAGCCAGAACGCACTTCTCAGCCTACTATGCAAGGCCCGATTTGCCTAATAAGCCAAGTTTTCATGAATTAATTGTTTTTCGACTACCTAACCTAACCTAACCTAACGTTTTAGGCTACCTGACCTAACCTAATCTATAAAGAAAGGTTAGGTGGAGAAATAGCAACATCGACGATAGTATCCGTACCCGCATTGAACAACACCTCGACATCCTCACAGACCAACATCACCTCAGCACTGAAACAAGGATTATCAAGAAACTAACAACATTATATGGAGGACCTATGGCAATTCCACGACCAAGAGATGGCTTCCTGAACCTTGCAGGAATTAACCTCACTGAGGACCAAGTCACTCTCCTAAATCTGGGCATAAACTGTCATGTTATGTCCAGACCGAGTGAGATGGCCCGGAAAGTAGAGTTGGAAATTCTGTTGGACGACATATTCGACCTCGAGACACAAAAGAAGGTCACTACCAAAGATACCTTACAAGCAGAACTTATTGCAGGAGGAGGAAAGAATCGAGGCAACTACAGAAGCACCATACTGTCCCCCGAGCTTAAAGCGGCAGCTAAAAGCCTTCGTGAGAACAAGGAGATAGTTGTCAGGAGAGGTGACAAGTCGCCAATATATGTCATTCTTAAAAAAGATGAATATCTGGCGAAAATGAACATCATACTCTCTGACCAAACTAAGTTCCAAAGGGTAACGAAGGACACTACAGCCGAATTAAAAGCAAAGGTCAACAAACTGATCGAAACTGTGAACGCCAAGAAATCCGGACTCCACCTGCCAAAGATCATTGGGGAATATAAACCTGGATATGCGTATGGAAATGTCAAGACGCACAAGCCTGGAAACCCACTTCGGCCAATCATTAGCCAGATACCCACACCCACGTACAGACTGGCGAAGCGACTCATCGGCCTGCTGACTCCTTATGTTCCTTGCGCCTTCAGCCTGAAGTCTCCAAAGGAATTTGTTGACTTACTGCGGGGCACACGGGCCACAGGGATAAGAGCCTTGTTGGACGTAGAATCGCTGTTTACCAACGTACCTGTGGACGAGACAATCGGAATGATAGCCGACAGAGTGTATCGTGATCCAGCCTGTACTCCTCTTGACATACCAGAAAATATTCTGAGGAAACTACTCCAAGCTTGTACTAAAGAGGCACCCTTCTTGAGCCCGGATGGGCACATGTATAAGCAAGTAGATGGGGTCGCCATGGGTTCTCCCCTAGGTGTCCTGTTTGCAAACTTCTACATGGGTACCATCGAGCAAAAAGTCTTAGTCGACATGAACTTGAAACCGGCCATATACTGCAGGTATGTTGACGACATTTTTACACAGGTACCTGATGTCAGACATCTGCAGGAGCTGAAGGAGGCATTTGAGCAGAGTTCCGTGCTGCGTTTCACTTACGAGATGGAAAAGGATGGGAAGCTGCCCTTTCTAGATGTAACAGTCATGGAAAAGGGCGGAGGTTTCCACACTGCAGTCTACACTAAGGAAACAAACATAGGAATGTGCCTAAATGCCAACAGCGACTGCCCAGACAGGTACAAGAGGAGTGTTGTTAACGCATATGTCGACCGTGCTCTCAGCCACAGCTCAGAATGGAAGCAAGTCGACGAAGAACTCTGTAGGGTAAGGCAGGTCCTAGTCAATAACGGCTTCTCCAATGGTTTCGTCGAAGACATCATAAGAAGGAAAGTGAAAAGCCATGCAACCTCTGAAGAGACAACTAACACAACACCTATACCCCCTATTAGACTATTTTACAGGAACTTCTTTTCCACAGCTCATAAAACAGAGGAAAGGGTCCTGAAAGATATTGTTAATAGAAACGTTATCCCTACAGACAAAAATCAGAGGATACAACTGACGATTTACTATAAAACCAGAAAAACGGCCAGCCTACTCATGAGAAACTCTCCAGACACAAAACAGAACGCTTTAAAAGAGACTAACGTCGTCTATGCTTTCATATGCCCTCTTGGGGACTGTAAGCTCCAAAAAACCCAGTATATAGGCAAGACAACAACATCTCTTTCTAGGCGTTTAACGATGCATAAGCAACAGGGCTCCATTAAGGAACATATAATCTCTTCCCACAACCAAACCATCGCCAGAGAAATCCTAGTAAACAACACAGAAATCATCGATAGATACAGCGATAGCAGGCGGCTTGACGTTTGCGAGGCACTACACATCAAGAAGTCAACACCAGCAATCAACAGCCAATTATTGCACAACTATATTCTACCCACCTCAAGACTCCGCTCCAATATAGAAGCATCAAGAAATATGGACCAATAGGCTTTCTACAAACACTTCTATTCAATATCCATTGTTTCGTGTTCTGTCTTGTGTTGATGAAATTAATACCCTATTAATACTCTTGTTCTGTCTTGTGTTGATGAAATTAATACCCTATTAATACCACATCTTGTTCTGTCTTGTGTTAATGCCACATCACCCCTTCCACCTCACTCAAATGTAGATATAAAATCGGAGATGCGTAAGTTCTATTCAGTTGTGTATTTGTGAACTAAAGTCTTTGAAAATGTAATAAGTTTTACGAAACGCGCTCGTGTCGCGTCAGACTAGAAATAAAAATGAATTTTGGAGAATTGATTTTTGATTTACCTCCAACAGTGAAACGAAATGTACGAAAGATTGAGAAAATTCGTGTTAGAATTATTAATCTTACTTTTTCGGTCATATTTAATAATATATATATAT